AATGTGACCTTGTAGCCACCCGCTAGGATGGGACCAATGGCTGCCACTGAGAACGTCTGCACCTCGTCCACACGTCGAGCTACTTCCACTTTATATCCAATGACAGGAGCACCATTGACGCCCTCGGGTTTGACGTTTAATGGTGGGAAGAACTGCACACGCATCGATGTGTCACTAGCTGGAGATACCAGAATCTTCTCGGGTGGACCGGGGACGTCCTCTGGCACGAAGAACTCGGCGTTGACGGTGGACACAACTAGCACCGTGAGGAGTAGCAGTAGCGTAAGACTAGCCCATTGTGCGGAGACGTAGAGCATCTTGGCGAACGGATGCGACTTGTAGTGGCATATCCATATCTCTCTGGACTATTTTTTTTTCGGGGACCCGCATCTTGATTCCAGTATGCTTCTAAATTAAAATCCCATACATCGACCCGGGACCCGCGTCGGTTTGTGATGCGTTACGTTGCGATCGACCTAAAGTAGCGCTTAAAAAGCATCTTTTTATGAAGAAAACTTCTTTCTTTAGAAAAGCGTTTTTCACTGAAGTGTTCACGTACACAAGCCAAGGAGATCATGGTGCGAAAGGGCCGCGCGAAGGAGAACGTCGCCGGCGAGCGGTACGACTCCAATGCCATCCCGATGGCGCAGCCGGCACCTAGTCGTACGCGTCCTCACCCCGGACAATTCAACCCAGCGGACCTCATGGGTATGTTAGGCGGTGGTGGCGGCGGAGGAATGCCCGATATGTCGCAAATGATGGAGATGATGCAGGGTATGGGGGGTGGCATGCCCGGAATGCCCCCAATGGGAGGTATGCCCGGTATGGGAGGTATGCCAATGCCCGGTATGGGGGGTATGCCGATGGGTGGTATGCCCGGTATGTCCGGTATGATGCCGCCCATGGAGCCCGTGCGGCCCAAGATCATTTACGCTTATGGACTGGCTGAGGGCACCCCCACGTCGACTTTCATGACCTTCTACCCCAACTACATCGACAACAAGAAGACGGTGCAGCAGGGCCGTCGTATCCCCAAGCAGAACGCATGTGAGACCCCGATAGCCGACGAAATGTCGGAAGTTTGCACGTATTTCAAGCTACCGCACGTGCTCGAGCCGGCCAAAAAGTATCCGCGCGACTGGCTCGTCTCGGGTCGTATCCGCGTACGTCTTGTGCGCGACAATGGCACACCTGAGAACCCAGACATCCCGAACCGCAAGACGCTCATGATCAAGATGGCCGAGCTTATCCCCAAGCTGCAGTCTCGCAAGGTGCGACTGGAGAAGGAGGCCGAAGAGGCCAAGAAGAAGGCAGCGGCTGCAGCTGGAGCTGCGACAACGTCTGGCGGTGGCAAGAAGAAGGGAAAGAAGAAAGGCAGGAGATAAACGTAGCACTAGAGCTGAGGAGCTACATCAGAGGCTAGAGCCTATGGTAGGGTCAATACAGGACCGTTCACGCTTCATTTTTGTGTCGTTGATCTCCACTTGAGCCACGTCTACTGCAGTTGAATTGCTTTACTTAGAGCCAGGAGGACCACGACCTCTTCCTCGGCCGCGTCCACGACCAGGAGCAGCAGGTCGTGCAAATTCGCGCGGTTTAAGCTCTTCCTCGGTCTTAGGAGCCAGCTCCGAGCGAATATCATCTACGGCACTGGAAGGGTTGTTGATCTCAATCTGAAAGGCAGACAACACGTCAGTGGGCTGTATAACAAGGTACAGTCATAGTGCGGCTACGCACCGTGTGGTCAAACTTGATGTGAAGTTGTTCGTTGGCGACAGAGAGAACCGTAGCTTTGCAGGTCGAGTAGACCATTTTCAGACGCACAGGCGAGTCTTCAGGACACACATACATGAAAACTACCAGACAATCGTGTTATTAAACGTCCAGTGTTCGTGAAATAACGCCAAAATAACGTACTCAGTGCCGACGTGGCTCCGGACGCCACCGGTCCGCGGTAGCGATACGCCACGAAGCTCGGAGTGCGACGGTCCAGCGTTGATGGCACGTCAATCAGCTCTACGTTCTCCAGACTCTTCACCACCTCGACACTCTCGTTATCCTCGCTCAATTTCTACAAAAATTAATGAATCAGCATTCTTCAATCCAAACCAGACCTTCTTAACTCACCATAGCGATCCAGTCGAACTTGTTATCCTGCAACAGTCTCAGCTTATCACGCACGTTCTGCGTGATCTCAAAGGGTACGACACCCATCGCGCTGGACTTGACGTTCGTATCACGCTCCAACAATGCCGCTTCCTTAAGCAGCCGCTCCGACTCGGACAGAGGTGCGTCCGCCGCCTGCTTCTTCCTCGCCTCCAAAAAACTCTCCCACGTCACTTCGCTCTGCACAAAATTGCACAGTAATCAGTATTAATTTCTTTACCTTCTGCTCTTAATAGCCCAGCAACGTGCCAGTTCGGTGGCGTGGAATTCTCCTGAGAAATAGTTGAGTCCAAGTTGCTTCTTGAGCGAGTCACGCGACGACGAGTAGAGCATACGATCACGCACGCTCACGCTCTCAGGGACAAAAGCCAATAGTACCCAACGCAGCGCAGCCACATTCGTGTCCGGGCACAGCAGCACGAACGCTGCCTGTTCCGCATTGAGGTTGGCTGTCACAAGCTGCTCTACGTCATTGCGCGGCTCCGACGTCGCAGGCCCCGCTGCGCTTAGCACAAACGACTCGCCCTCAATAGACACCTTGACAAAGCGGAGCTTGCCACTCTGTGCGTCGGCGAACGCGCGCTCGAGCTCTGCACTTAGCAGGAGGTTCGCCCGCGCCATGATCAGATCAGATCGGGGGGAGCTCTTCGAGTATGCAGATAAAGAGGATTACGGCAGCTAGAACCCTCTTTATATTGATATCAGAACGAGTAAACCCCTTTATCATGATAAAAAATGAAACAAGATAAACAAGTTCGAACTCTTTGAGTTTGTTTTCGGCAATATCTCAAAGAGTAGACGAATAAGTTTCCTACGATCACTCCGACGCCTTGAAAAACTGTCAACAAAACACTCGTGAGCGTCATCAACTTTGATCAACTCCATAAACGCAGCTACTTGACTTACCGCATCGTCGGCGTATGCGAACTCGAGGCAGTGTAGGGCACCAGAAAAGAGTCGCTTCCGCATGGGGGCGTTCTCCTTCAGGCCAAATATGATGATACGCGCTTGTGTCAAGTAATCTTCGCTGCTCTCCTTGAAGCGCTCGAACAATGCGGCCTGCCAAAACATACCCGAACAACACAACCGAGTCAGCTTCTAAGTGTCCGGCCACTAACGAATAGTCGATCAACGCACCTCAATTTCCGTTGCCAGGTCAGCACGCTTTGCTCCGTCCTGGTCGAGGATCTCGCTCAGCATGTTCACAAAGATCGTTCGGTTCTTGTCCATGTGTTCAGGTGCTTCAAACATATCTGTGTCTTTCACTGCGCCATCATCAGTCTTCTCCGTCTTCACTGGAACCGCTGATCGCTCTTCCTTGACTGCTCCCACCTCAGCAGCAGCAGATCCCTCCGTTTTCACTACTTCATGCTCCGCAACTGCTGGCTGTGCTGCCACATTTTCCACGGGTTTATTCGCTTCTTTCACTTCAGCATCCTTCGATTCCTTCGATTCTTCTGCTTTCGTTGTGGGCAACGCATTCACAGCAGAAGAAGCAGCCTTATCCTTCGCAGCAGAGTCTTCCTTACCACCACTGTTCTCTGGAGATGATACCTTTGTCTGCTCTTCTGTCTTCACTGCACTCCCATTCTCCGCTTTCCGCTTCTTGATGCCAGAAGCCGCAGTGTCTTGGTGGCCTTTCTTGCCCAAATGGGTGATCTCTGTGTCATTGTTCAAAATGTTCATCATGTGCTTGCGAAGCGCGCTCGCCGTCTTGCCGACCGTTTGATTCGAGCTCTTGCGCAGCAGCGCAATGATCGCTGCCAGTCCCGATCGCTCCACGTCCGAGCGATACATGAGCGTTTCTTTGAAAAGCTCCTGCATCATAACGACCAGCTCGTCGTTATTCCGCGACGATTCCTTCATGTGTAGCCGCGTCATCTTACTGGCGAACGAGGCCAAGTCGCCCACCTTGTAGTCTCCCTTGTCCTTCTTGGTCTTGCTCTTCGGTCCATTCAGCTTCTTCTTGGCTGCTTCCTCCGTCATCTCGCGAATATCGGCTGACTTGACGGTCTTATGGGGGACCACCAGCTCAATCTCCTTCTTGCGCTTGCTATCAATGTCCGAACCGTTCAACTTGTGTTTTGTCGTGGCTTTCGGTGCCTTCTTAACAGAAGCTCCCGCTGCATTGACGACGTCATCCGCTCCTTTCTTCTTGGGCGTCTTGCGACTTGCCACCTTCGCCTTAATCTCCTCCTTGCTCAGCGGTGGTGTCGTTTCCTCCTCCTCTTCTTGTGTAATCGCAGGCGTAGCTTCCTTTTCGTCTGTCACTTCCTCCGTCTCGTCCTTTGTCAATCGCTTCTTGGGGGTTTTCGTTGGCGTAGCCTTGGGCGCTGTCTTGGCCTTGGGAGGTCGACCAGGCTTTCGCTTCACAGGGGTAGGCATATCTGCTGGCTGCTGTACTGCTACCATCTCTACAGGCTTCAATAGACCGTCCGCTCTGTCCTCAATCGGCAGCTTGGTCTCTTTCTGAATTAAACACAGAAAACAGAGCGTTTAGTCCTCTATAAGCAGCAATTTGCACTCATACCACGTACATCTGCCACTTCAATTGCCAACATGAGCTTAGCACGTCGCTTGGGAGCCTTCGAGTCCTTCTCCGGGTATCCTTCGCGGTATTTATTCTTTGTATCGTCCCATGACTCGATCATCTTGAAGGAGATGGGGGCGTAATTGTTGGATACGTAGAAAAACACCAGAAATTTAGTCTCCAGGTGCTTCATGGCCGTCTCCTGCAGCTTCTTGGGTAACAAACGTGGGTCCGTGATGATACAGGGCCAGAACGGGTAGCCTGCCATCTTGGCCCATACAATCTGGCCGAATCTGCCCTTGACATCGTCACTTAGAGCCGCCACCTTTTTCTCCACCTCCCTTTGCTCCTCGACCGCGTCGTCTTCGGTCTCAATCGCAGCCTTCTTTCTACGGCCAGGCTTGGGGCCTCGTTTGGCTCCCTTCGTGGTTTTTGCGCGTTTTTTAGGGTGTTTCTCAGGCTCTGACTCGGTATCGTCGCCCTCCGTCTCTTTGGGCTGCTTGGCCACGCGGGGACTCGACGTGCGGCGCTTGAGCGGCGTCGCGGCCTGTTCGTCGCCCGCCTTGGGCTTTTCTTCGTGCTTCGTGGCCGCCTCCTCGGCCACTTTCGCGTCAACCGTCATCTTCTCGGTCGGTTCTGCGTTTTCGACCACTTTAGCGGGCGTAGGTGTTGCCGGAGCCGCCTCCACAGCCGCGTCCTGCTCGCTCATCCCTTTGGCTCGGATTTTTCCTTGTGCGAGGCGACAAGGGCAGCCACTAGGCTGGCCGATATTTTGACTTGAAGTTTGTATGCTGGATCTTCCACGTTCTTGAATGTGGTGTTCAAAACATGAAATTTTGAGTACCCTAGAAAACGGATTATTGGCAAGGTCTACACAGAGAATTTGTATGGAGTGAATTGAAGATGGAAACCCCTTCAACATGAGCGTAAATGAGTGACGGAACATGAGCAAGATGAGAACAGTGTATGTTTGGGTTGCCTTGAGAGTGTATTAACGTGTCGCCGTTATGACAGAAGCTATCGGTCGCATTAACCAGGTGCCATCGCATAACACCGTCGTCTATTCCATGCGTCCACATCCGCACAGCGGAGCCACTAGCACCCTGCAAGAATACTCCAAAACTTCATCGAAAAGAACCAAAGAGTTGCAGCTTGTGATTCAGCATCAACTGACCATCCAGGTACAAGACGCTTAGTCCCAGCCGCTGCTGGCAGCGGGGGCGGCGGCGTCCCAGTTGGAAGCAGCGCCAGCCTCGCCCGACCACTCGGTGTTGCCCGAGGCGGTCCACTCAGCCGCAGGGGCGGCGGGGGCAGCAGGCTCAGCGGCGTACAGGGCGGGCTCCGCAGGGGTCTGCGGGGCGGCGTCACCCCAGCCAGCGCGGGTCTGGGCCTCCTCGGCAGCGGTGGCCTGAGCCTCCTCAGCCTTCTTGAGCTCCTCCGGGTCACGGTACAGGAACAGGTCCACAGCCACGTCCCAAGGCAGAGCACGCGAGATCGTGCCACGCAGACGCAGCACCTCACGGGCGAGCAGCCAGTAGAGCAGACCGATGGACAGCTTGCCCTTGTTGTTGGCCGGGATGGCAACGTCCACGAACTGCAGAGGCGAGTCCGAGTCGCAGAAGGCGATCACGGGCACGTTGACGAACGACGACTCACGCACGGCCTGCGAGTCGGTGCGCGGGTCCGTGATGATGAGCAGACGCGGCTCGCGGAACTGCTTGGTGATCTGGTTGGTGAACGTGCCGGGCGTGAAGCGGCTGGCAATAGCCTGGCAGCCGGTGTGCTGGGCGAACTTAAGCACAGCGCGCTGGCCGTACGGGCGGGCCGAGATGGCAATCACGTCCTCCGGGTTCTCGACGGCCACGATCACGCGAGCAGCGAGCATGAGCTTCTCCCACGTCTTGCCCACGTTAATGATGTGGATGCCGTCGTTACGGCGGCGCCAGATGTAGTCCGCCATCTTGGAGTCGGCATTGCGCGTGCCGATGTGGACCTGGGCGGCCAGCATCATCTTGATGTCCTCCTCACGTTGGGTAGCCATTGCTGCGATTTGATTCCTGTTCTTTTCAAAGAGCGATGAATTGTGCTCGGCGGCATTTAGGACCGACTCGGTCAAAGAGCTCTCGACCACCAACCAAACAGTCGATCGGACATAAGCGAGTTCGGTCCCGTCGCTATTTTGATATTGGTGTGGAGCACGTATTCTGATGAGGATGTACACCAATGTATCCATTATCAGATACGTCGACACGATCTGGTGTCAACGTGAGCATTGCCTTTTTTCCTCTAACATGGCGGAGAGCAGCGATCGGAGCGGCGATGCAGTTCGCGCTAATGGCAGAGACTTTAACGTCCAACTGGCGTTGCAGCCTGTTGTAGCCGACGTGTTGGAGCAGTTGACGGAGCTGTGGCAGGCGTTTGGTCTGAATGATGAGGAACAATTGCAGCAAAAGAAGCTTCTGGTCGCTACGATCAAGAAAAGCTGCCAGAACAGAGTGGTTAATTGGCGCAAGGAGGTCGAGCGCGCAACGACTCGCATAGCGGAGTTGGAGACGGAAGTTCAGACCATCACGGCGCAGTTCCAGGGCAACGAGGTTCGGAAAGACAGACGAACTTTGGTATTTGTAGGGACTGAGTTAGCTCACTGTGTAATGATAGTCAACTGGATGGTGCATCCAGTCCCTAGACGAGCTGTGTGGCGGTGCGCTCCGCGACCGACTTGCTGCGCTTGAGATGGAGTTTAAATTCCTGGACAGCGTACGGTGGCTCGATGTTTTGTTGCTCTGTACGTTCGGAGGTAGTGCTCATGTTGTTCCGAATCAGGTTCGCACTAGTCGCTTGGCTGAGGTTACCAAACTACGAGATCAGTTGAGTCTGATGGACAGGAAGTTGGGCACCACGTCCGTTTTGGTGCGTGGTAGTCTACCACTGGAAGAGTACGATAGAGTATCTATCTTAGTGTTAAAGTGTTAATGCTGCTGTTTGTAGCGCTCGGATGTATCTATCCTCAGTGAAGATTACAAGGCAGCACTACAGGAAATCGTCAAGAACAAGTCACGAGAAGTGGTGAGCGATAGTTGCATTATGATCGTGCCCTGTTCTTTCTAACGTGACCCGGGTTGTCATTTGAGCAGCACACACGACGAGCTGCTCTTCTAGAGGCCGTAAGCGAATGCGTAAAGCTCGCTCAAGAGCTGCAAGTAGAACCCGACCACACGTTTGCACCGGACATCAACGATCGCCTGAAGGTAATGGGGCAATGCCTGTGGTTTGTGGATTCTACTGTGTCATATCCTTCGATTTGCTCTTTAGAAGCGAGATTTGTCGGTTGAAATGCTCCAGAAGATCTCACTGAGAACTGTCGAGCTGCGAGAGCTCAAGGTCAACCACGAACTACGTCTAGCGGAGATGATTGGGCAAATCCATGAGCTTTGGCGCGAGCTGCAGGTGGGTAAATAGAAACATTGTGTTGAGTATTTTACGCTAAGTGTCTGAGTGTAGATTTCGGAAGAAGAGCGGGAACGTTTCCGGGAAGCTGTGCGTGGAGTTGGTAAAGCTACTCTCGCATCGGTGAGTTGCACATATTCGCGAGGAAATAGTGCAAATGGCTGACGCTCTGTAGTGCGAGGCGGAGTTGACGAGACTCCAACGTCACCACAAACGCTTTGCTGCGACTGCTGTTGAGGTTTCCAAACTGCGAAATGCCATAACAGAGCACTGGGACCTACTGGGATACAGCTCTGATCAGCGCAAATACTTCGCTAGTATGATGATGAAACCTGACTCAGAGCTGTCCTACAAGGTCTTTCGCGCTCACGAGAAAGCGCTGGAACGTCTGAAGCGTCAAACATCAATAATGAGAGAACTCATAATTGTACGTATTGTCGCATTGATGTTACTCCTACGAACACTGATCAATGTTGGTACTGCACTGATAGTACGTTACCAAGCGAGAGGAGATCCTACAAGCTCGCGCAGAGTATGTATCATATAAAACGGACTCGCGATATCTATTTGTTTTAACGTTCTAACGTACCCAGACATGGTGTTCCTGACGAAAGAACTCGTCTGCGCATCGAGAGAGAACTGCCGAAATACACCACGATACTGCTGAACCGTATTGCGAAGTATGAAAACGAAACTGGCATCCCGTTTTGCTGGAAAGGTATTGGTAACGGTATACGAGCAACGTTTAGAGTTAAGGAGTCTAACCCATGCTCCACTTGTAGGTGAACGGTACTTGGAACAGATACACTCGGACGATCGATACGACAAGAAGAAAAAGGCGACAAACAGCATTGGTCAAAGCAGTCTAGCCAGCTCTAAAGGCAATGACAGCCGACGTCGCATTCAGGTGACACGTTCCGTTAAATCAATGGTTGTTGTATGTTAGTGACGTGTCTTGATGCATGCTTGTGTCTATAGCTCACCAATCGGTACTCGATTGAGGAATGCGCGCCCCCACGCATCTCCAGCATGGAGGAACAACTTCGACGTCGTCGATCTGACCCGCAAGCACCGGAGCGTTCCCGGTGGCGCAACTTTATCCGAAGCACGTTTCCGAAACGAAATGTGGTGGCGTAGGTGTTACCAAACCTTCTGCGACGAGTAGTGCCTAACATTCGCAAGATTCTTATCTTCCAGACCTCCATCATGCACACTACATGTAGCTATCCGGATATTACCCTCTGAAAAGGGAGAGATTTAACAAACGTGTTTTTCTCATTGCCACTCGTTGTAGTCTATCTACTTCTCACGAACCTCCCCCTAACGCTAGAAGCTCTTTCTTCGGTCGAGATAGACTCGTAGTCGAGTTCCGCTTAAATTCACACCACCGGATTAATGCTAGTCCAGATGGCTCCCATCGAGTCAAGCTCGTTACCGCTGTATCCGACGAAGCCGCCCAACTGATAACCCTCTAGTGCGCTGTCCTTACCCATTCTGTCCGCATCGACCGCCGGGGTTCCACCAGAAATGGTGCGCTTCTTGTCGGTGGTGAACTCGACGTACATGAGACGCGTTTTGCGGTAGTACTTGCCCCAGTGCGCCTGGACGCCGATGATGTGCTCACCCTGGTCTAGCTGGAGGGTTTCCGAGTCACCGCCCTTGCCACCGTGGTACAAGATAGTCGTTTGCCCGGTGAGATCCGTCACGTTGAGGCTGACGGCATCCACACGGTCAGCAGATCGAACCGTGATGGAGTTCACAATTTGACCAGGTGAAACGAGGTCCAGGTCCGAGTACTTATCGCCGTGGGGTCCACCGAAAGTCTCACCGAGAAGAATGCCTTTGTCCAAAGCAGACGCAGTGCCTGTAACGAGCGCCAATGTCGCGAGAACCTGGAAGATAAACTTCATTGTTGTCTTTGCCTTGCTGGAAGGAGGAGAAATCGATAATGAGCTCAATGTCGCTCAGGCATTTACTGCATTACCCAACTAGGGTAACCCTAGAATCACTCATTCCCGAAGGCGGTGCGTGATGGGATTGAACTGCGCGTGGCGCGAGAGTCTAGATAACCGACATTCGGTGCGTGGACTGATCAGGATAATAATTAGGATCGACCAAACTGTCTTTCAGTCCTGCTCTGTAAAAACGCGACCAATCAAACATTATGGGATGCCGATGCAAATCGAAAAAGTGACCAATTGACAAAAGAATTTATTGATAATTCACTTTTATTGAGCATGAGAAAATTTGTTTGCTCCATGGTATTTCACATTTTCTGATGCGAAATTGGAGGTATTCTAGTCAGCAAAAATCACTCAAACTCACCATAAATGTGACCATTTAGCCTGAGGCAGACTAATTGAGACATACACATGTAGTATTAGGTAAACTGGTGTTATTTTGCTGAAATACGCGCATGGGAGCTCCGTTTAACATAGCAAATTGGAAGCAGTTCTACGCCATCAACTTTTCAACGACACAAAAGTAAATAGACTTCCATTTGGTGCGTTGTTCTAAAAATACTAAGAGGTGTGCAAAAAATACTCCTGATTGCCAGGTCGATAAAGTTGAGGGTAGAACAATGGAGCGTTTGTTCTTTGTGGTGGGGCATGCAGACTACCACTTACATATTCAACCATTACTGAATATTTATAAAGTACAATGAACATATTTTAGACAGAATTACGGTTTTGGGATGGTTATACACAGGACTTCTCAATGAGAGCTTTGATGTACAATCCACTATGTCTATGGATAGCACAGGTTAACCTGGGAGTATAGGGATTGTTTTAAAGCAATCAGTATTTTGTAGTCGATTTTGTACATGTACCTCTAATTAACGAGAATGAAGCAATCGTTTATTCCAACCGCAGGTAGCGGGAGCGTGGCTCATTATTCGGTCGCAACGCTAGCGATTACATAAATCACCGCGCCATGCATAAAATTTGGACGCAACAATAGAACTCATAATATGTACCTCGGCTGTGAGGGTCATAACCGCAATAAATAGAAGTACGAAATATAACATAAAGAGTGAGACTGAGCACTGTGTCGCAAACTCGGGAAGTGATCAAACGATCAAGCGATCGTTGGCATGAATTACCACAGCAAGTTGTGTGCTGAACAACTCCATCAAATGCGGGAATCGACACTCGTGATTTTCCCGTCCTGACTATCGCATTGCGGATACAGCTCATTAGATCGAATCGGATTTCTCGCTACTGTTGGGAAAGGACGCGTTGTATGGACCATCGCTCGAGGAGATTTTGTATGCCTAAGATATTCACGATAGACTGCGTACCACGATATAACGAAGCAAAACTTAACCGAAATAGAAAAGAAGAACAAGTTAGTCTGTTTATATCTAAAATAAAGAGGTACATTTTATTAAGATTAAGTTCTTTCTATCCTGTCAACTGTATCGCTTTCGTCCACTTTTCTCGCTTACGGTACAGACGAAACAAGTATAGCACCGAAACCACCTCGTTTCTTGTATTTAGAAACACTTCGGGATACAATCTTAAGTCCACATTCGATTATGGGGGTATTTGATCCGAACTATCGGGAAGCCAATCAGCAGGTTCATTTTTTAAACAGGGAAGTCAAACTAGAGTCGTCCAAATATCCGTTTTGGAAGCACACTATTGTGGTCTGACCTAGCATAACACAAACTGAAACAGTGAGCTTTCGAAATAGGGCACGATATTTTAGCCACACCGTAAACCGCGGCTTTAGTACGACAGTTTATGTATTGTTATTACTATCGAACTTGTACGTTGTACTAAGAATACTGACCACCAAATGCAAATATGTGGGCAATAAAAAAAGTGAAGACATTTTACATACATGATATCAGGCTTAATACTAAGGTGAATTACAACCAATACATTTCTAGCTCACACTTTTTTTTCTCGACTTAATGCTTTTATTGTACTTTGTAATGCGTTGTTTGATTGTTAAATAATATTTGTAATAACGCGCAGAATTATTTTAATAACGTTAGATAATAGCCTTAGGATCATTGCGGATTCTGTAGGGGCTGGCAATCCGTATATTCGATTCTTTGCAAACTTAATATTCATCATGAATATTAAGCATTAGGTACATGAATTTCATGTACCTAATGCTGGCAAATCATGACCTTGCGTTACCACAATCTCGACAGATATTGACCAATGGCGTGTGTACTATATCGTTGTACATGTACAGCAACAACCGGATCCGGAAATAAGCAGTTTTATACATGTACAATCTCGGAACATTCGAGAAACTTAAAAACCAAGGTAAACGACATCCACGAGACGAACCTAGCGCGGACACGCGCATTTTGACGTCCTCCTGCTCGAAGTTTTGATTGCTGTAAATAATGTAGCAGTTTTCTTTAATAAAGGGTGAACTCATGTGTTAATATCATCCTGTTGGTGCATGTAAGTACTTCTACTGATGATATGAAAATTGCACTCTCTTTTGTTATCTTACCAGTAATCGCCACGGTCATGTACATGTAAAAGTACGATTGGACTCCAACTTGGAGCCACCTGGGCACAAATAGTGGATTTGAAACTGTACTTAAAGGCTTCGATGCTAATACAACCAACAAATGTTTACGATACATGTATCTTTCTAGTACTAGTAATGCTCTGTGCGTCGTTCCCGTACATACAGTAGTAAAGCAACCTATTCTCGCGGGGGTGGACCATATGGGAAACAAACGCATTAGGTTTCAACCTGAAGATATTTGACAAAAGGAACATTGTTTCCGGGTTCCGGACTTCCGGATTCCGGAAGTTTATCAAAGGTCCGTGTGCACGAAAAACGGGGTGCAGTACTACAATAGTACCATTTTGAGAATACTGAAAGCTAGAATACCAGATTTCCATTTTACATACCTACGACACGCAGGAAGCAAATCAGAATGGGCAAAGCTTAGGGGAGCTGAATCTGCATATTACAATTGACTACTACTGCTACATGTATTAGCTGATGCTGGTGCACTTTGAGCAGTCATGTGGCTTAACCTTGTCTATGTAATTATTATGAGGAATTGTAAGCATCCTGTCTGATGCCATCTGCTTCACGGGATCGAGAGTTCAGATCACCTTGCCGAAATGATCACGCATAATTTAGAAACCTGTAATATCGATATACGTCACCTCTTTGATATTAAAATAGAACAAATAAATTGCAATTTTAACCCTCTTGTCCTACGTAGCTGCCTGGTGTGCGCTGAACGGACCTTCTGTGACTACCTCCTTCCTCCAACAATGGAGACCGATGTTGCTCGTGCCGCAGCCCGTTGGCTCTAACCTTTGACCATCAAGGGGGCACAACGAGGCGGGTATCGTGGAACCGTTGACCAACTCTGGGGTGTCTGGCGCTCGAGGCAGGTCAAGCACCGGACTACTACCGCACTGATTCTCAGCGAGCATCACGGCCACCACGGAGTTCATTTCGAAGGTCCAGGTTTCTCTCTTGCAAGCCTAAACACGAACCACCAAGTCTCCGGGAGGGAACTATGCAAGAGCCGCCTCAACTGGTGTCGCCTGGACGGAGCGTCACTCTCTTGCTGCGGGTTTCCTTGTCAACACACCGCGCTTGCGCGGCGCCTTTTGTGCCTGAAGAGTCATCCTCCGTGTCCTTCCTTGTCCTATCGCTGGGGAGCCCGCCCGAGGAGGAGGACCTTGATACTACTCGAGATCCGACCTAACGGCGGTGGGCCAAGCTGTCCGTCCTCCCGATGAAGCGATCCTCCTGGGAGGTGGTGGTGTCTTTGCCACCGAGTTCCCTCCCTCCCAGCCCCACAACCCCGCTCGTACAAACGCATCAGATAGATAGAACCCAGAATTTTATTTTCTTTCTAAGTCAATGCGATAATGTATGGCTTTCCCTCCGCAGATCGATACCTCGAAAAAATGCGAATGTGGCAAAATATTAAAGGATTCATTTGGTACTTGTATTGCACGAAATTGTGTGTAAAACACAACATGGACATGAATTAACCCCAGTTGGGCTGTACGTTTAATTCGTATCGAAGCACTAGTAACGTTATGCTGTAGACAACTATTTTGTGTGGCGGTACTGTACATTGCACATATGGCAAGGCGAGCTGCCAATCGAAGAGAAGGCGGCAACAACAGTAATTTACTTAGTAACGTTAATTTATAGCTCCGCTGGCCGAACTACCAATGCACAGCGTTGCCTGCTAGAACCCTGTAAGGCTATACATAGTAACGGTAGCGTTGCTTGCTAGGACCCTGTGGGGTTATATATAGTAACGGTACCCTGGAGTTTATGTCAGAAAAGCAAAGACGCGCACACTAGGAAAACTACGAGCTTGAATCAGAACTATAGTCGGCTATTGTTACAAATAGACCTAAAAAAAAGCTACCAAAATGAGACTGTTTCGATGTTACATGCTTGACGGGTAAATCTGTACTGCGAGCTGGTCTACAAAAAGAACATGATTTCTAAGAACCGATACGGGTGTTAATGCAGTCGTTAACAGATATAACAACCAATACTGTTATAAAGTTGTAACTTGGTCATACTCTCTATTGCGCTTTTAGCTTCAGCCTTGGTAAGTGTGCAAATATTAACCCCACAAAAGACTGACATAATTTGTATGGACTCGATCACCTGACTGATGTCACAACAACATTATGTGTGGATATTTTAGTAATCATAATGTCATTTTTAAATGCTACAATACAACGTTTGTCCACAGTATGAAGAATTTATCAGCCTCCTTAAGGTATCTACTCTCTCAGTCGAAATATGATAAGGGTACGCTAAAATATACGGTTTCAGCTGTGCTCACAGAGCAATGGCATCTCATTGCACCCATCAACGATATGATGAAGTTAAAGTTTGACAGCTTATCTTGCAGTACCCAGCACTCTGGCACCCTTCTCCACCAGTTACGTTAGCCTAAAAAAAATCATATCTGAGGAGCGTGACGCGCCGGAGCAAATTGTACTTGGCAGCATGGATCCTCGTGTGTGCGTTCTATCAAAATTTAGCTGTGCATGCGGAAATGACAAATAAGTCGACACTTTCATCATACGTATTTGGCAACCCTCAAGATGGTGATCAGGTTGTCCAGTCCTTTCTCCAAGAGATCTTTGATCGGCTTGACAAATGAAGCTCAAGCCAGCAAACACAGGCACCCATAGTTTGAGAAAAGGTGCTGCTACGTAGGTAACGTAAGTGGTCTATCGAAAGACTATGTCAACCGGCGCTGAAAGTGGTGCACACGGAAAAAGCGTAGTCGATGTGTATAACGACAACATCTTACCGTATCCAGATGGTTCTGTTGTTCGAGCATTGGCCACCCCTCTAGAACGATGTTGCTACGTGCTTAAAGAGGGTATTCAAGTCGTTACCGATGAATTGCTTGTCAATCAAGCCGGTTCGTAGTTAAGGATTAAGGAAGCTACGGGGCGGGGGTGGGGAGGGGCAAAAGTGTTGGCTCTGTCGCTGCTTTGGGTATCTCTGGTCCCAGATGGACGCTTGCTTTTGACCTACATCTGAATGTATTTAAGCAAGTATTGTGCATGCAAACACCGACGCTGGAGGAAACAGCACTGTGAATTCCGTTGAGTGCGCACTCCTACATACTACTGACGAAGGTGGACAACTTTTGCTTGTTCTGACATAGATATGGCAACTAATCTGAACATACTCCTGGCGCTCAAAGTAGCATGTCTACGGACAGCACCAGCAAAGAATTTGCATCCCTTCAATCGCAACATTTTAGCTTGCAGCGACAAGTTTCTAACTTGTTTAACAAGGTCCCCTCTCACGTACTGAAAGCCAGCGTAACCACTAAAACCGTCTTGTCGTACTAGGGTGTATTGATCTACAACCAATTGCACAGAGAGTAGCCCAGACCTGTCGTAGCTACCAAAGCAGATACAGAAGAACTGCTGTTCGAGGAGTTCACCACGTGGTGCTGTCAAAGCGTCCTAAGGGTTTGTACGAGTTGTGTTTGTGT